CCAATACTTATTAGGTTAAGTATTAAGTATTTGAGTAAATACCAAGTCTAAAAAACTATACTAAAAAAATTTCAAATCAAATATCAAATATAATTAATGAGGAGCGGTTTTGCCCACACTTGATTAATTCTTAAAATAGTTGATAATTAATAAAATAATTAATATTTAAATTTATTAAATAAATTAATATTTATTATTTAATAAATTAAAATTAAATTATAAATAAATGTTTCTAAATATTATACTAATAATTTAAGAAAAAAATTATAAACAGATAAAATTATAGATAAATTACTAATCTTACCAATTTGAGTGATGATAATAATCTAATTTAAGTGTTAAACCTATACTTCCCTTATTCTTCTTCTTTTTTTTCACTTTTTTTAATAGAAAATTAAAAAAACTCAAAAAATCAAATACTCATCTAAAAATCGAGAAGATACCATGAAGATAGTGGGATCAAGTCATACTAAGAAATAAGATACATACAATATGATACACCGTATATATGAATGAATCTTAATGAATATGCACAACTGAAATTTAAATTTCAAATAGAAAACGATCCTCTTGAAAGAACAAAAATCTCTTCCTCATTTCAAAGGACTTGGAGTTGTGCAAGGAATGCAGCACAAAGGTCTAAAAACACAAATTGTGGCCCTTGAATTGAATTCTTTGTAAATCTAGCAGGTACTTCTCCTCCCCAGTTTTATAAAGCAGTTAACAGTAATGCAACCAAAACATGTTAGCATTCAATTGGTAATTTCACAAGTTCTGCCATAAATTTATCTACCGGAGGGGAAGGTTTCTAAAAACAACTACCAAATAACAATCTAGTCATCCATTACTGTCATTTAAACGACTTGCAAGACCAATAGTTACACGGAACTTTCTCAGATAGGCATTACCTGCAGCTCAAACTTCACGAAATTTGGTGATTGATTAATCCCATCATTCTCAATAATGCTTGAAACAATGCATAGACCACCAGTGAAATTGAAAACAAGAAAAAACAAATTTCATGTAGAAGAAGTCAGATCTAAGCCAACTTATATTAAGACTCAAAGACTCTCAAATTGACACAAGAGGAGCAATGAACACAATCAAAGATCACGCATTGAGCGACATCAAAACTGGGTCGATTTGAATGGTGGAAAAGTGTGAAATCAAGCATTGAATTAACGAATCCAGAGAGGAACCTGCGTACCAAGTTGAGGTTCCCAATGTTAGGATTGGGAATTTGGGGAAATTGGGATCAAGTGCCTAAAAGAGTGAGCATAATGAATTAGCTGGAGATTGGGTTTCACTTTCACATGGGAGTAAAGGACGTTGGGAATTAGCTTGGGCATTTTTTTGGGCATTTTGATTTCTGATTTCGAGGATTCAGCAAAATGAATTTGTTTGCGGTTCTCAGAAACGTTTTGGACAATTCAACCAAACGGCGTTTTGCTACCTAACGGAAAAAATGAAACGAGATTTTTTTTCCTGTACAAGCCAGAATATCCATTACATCGATACTCGAATTTAAATTTTTTTTTAAAAAAAATTATAATTAAATTATTTAAATTATTAACATATTTTTTTATTTTTGATAAAAATCAAATGATTGGGTGAATATAAAATATCAAAATATTATAATTATAATAATATATATAATTATAAATTTATAATTATGATATAATATTAAATATGTATAATATAATATTAAAAAATATATATAATATTATAAATAAATTTTAAAAAAAATTAATTATAAATAATAATAATATATTATTTTATAAATTTATAACATCAAATGAAATTACAAGTGATGTAACATTTTCCGTAAAGGACTTAATTAGGTTGATTAGAACTTTAGAAGTATCTTCAAAAAGAGTGGAGAGCTCTTTTAGGTACTCAAAACGTCTAAATTCGGGTCGGGTGCCGTCATTTCCTTCGCGGATCCCTCAAATTCCCGTGTGCCCGTCATCCCCGCCAGAATTACTGAAGGGGAAATTATCACCGATTCAGAGAATGTCGGTTACTTTCAGTAAAGCTCTCATCAGTTCGGCTTGAAAAGGTTTACTTGTCTACAGGGCTCCCCGCTGTTTTCCCCTCCCTCTTGTTTCCTTCTCTCTCCCGAGTCCCGAAAACTTTGGGATTTCAACATTTTAGTAGAGATGTTGAGGTGTGAGAACTTTGAAGTGCGCTCCTGAGAAATAAAAAAGGATGATTCTTTCGGCTTTTTAACTTCGGTCGGTTTCAATTTCGATCTCTGTTTCCTATTATTCACACTCAGAGTAATAATAGCTGCTGCTTCATCCCCGTGATTATTTGGATGTTCATATTTTCTGTGTTGGTTTATAGCTCTTTTTTTATCTGTAACTTAAATTTTACATTCATAAAATAGAAGTATTTCTTTCCTTTTATAATCTTTTATGGTCAGTTTTTATTGCAGTCTTTGCAGATGGCCTCATGGTTCAGACCTCATACTAACTTATAATGGAGAAATCTTCACATTCCTTTGCAGACTTCT